GAGTGTATTCTTTACAGATTTAACCTGCTACGTTTAACAGCCCTCTTTTCATGACGAAATCCTCCAGAAAGGGATTCGTACTTGGCCGCGGGGGACGTGGGGAGTAGGCTCGCTAAGCATCAAACAGTACAAAAGTGTCATTGCTAAGTTTGATGGAACGGACGGAAAGCTGCAGAAGACCCGGATGTAAATAGGACTACAAAATAATAAAAAATTATTAGCAATATAGCAAGAATAGCAAGAATAAATAAATAAATAAATAAATATCAGTTAATAGCATGAACTCGTAAGTACGTAGATGACTAAATAATACGTCTCAAACAGATTCGTGCGTATTGTCCTTTCCAAACCCTAAACAAACATCTGCTTGCATGGATAAAAGCACCTGAAATCAGAATTTACACCTTTCCACCACCTCTGCGTAGGAGCGTAATGCACGGCGCACACTCGGACCAAATCGATCAGTGATAGCCGAGCTCCTCTTTCACTCATTTGAAGGGAAATATGTGTTTTGAAGGCACACTGAAGTTTCCGAAGGTGTATCCTCACAATGGCACAGAAGGAGTCGATTTTTCGGGTCAGAGGGTAGCGCGTCTGTGACCCATCTAAAATATCTCCTGAACTAGCGGGTCTTCAGGAAAACTGTAAAGCTTATTGGAAAGAGAAAAGATAGGGCGGTTTCAAGACGATTTTAATCCTGATGAAATTGCGTTCGAAATAATCCTCGTGTGAAGCATAAAAACCCGCTTGCCATTTACCCCTAGCCGATCCGAAACCCACCGAAATTTTTTCTTGAACGGGGGGACATTCAGATTGCAACTAGGTAGAAAACGCAACAGCAGGACGCGCACCTGAAAGATATAACCCCCGAAAAGACCCAGGACGTTGGCAGGTCCAACAACCGCGCTCCAATGACGTTTTTCCAATGAAAGCGGTCGCAACGTTGCGATCGATAATAGCCAAGTATAGAACGATATACTGCCGCCTGGTTATCCATTTTTTTTTTTTGTATTTTTCATGTTTCGCTTTGTTGTGTCGTGCATGTTTTCATGATTTCCCCGTCACCTGACACGCTGACCTTGAGGCTATTTTTTCTCACCAATTTAGCTTATCAATGATCACCACTAGTCGCTGTTTGGATTGTGTTCCTTGTTACAAGTTGCATGTATATATGGTTGTCGAACCGCGAGTTTTATTTTGAGTCCTCAGACAAAATTGTAGGCAATGCGGGGCTGTTGTTCAGCCTCATATTGCATTAGGCTGAAACAGCCTATTATCGCCTGGATTTTAGAGCGGAGTCCGCCTCCCGAAAATCCAGATTCCATTTCAGAAGCCATTTGCTGGGGGAACATGCATCTGTTATGTTCACGTAGAGTAGGAGAGGGGGAGGGGGCAGGCACAGCATTCGATGGGGATTTCGTAAGCCCTGCGACCCCCCCTTTTTGAAGGTGTTCGTACGACCCCCCTATACCTTAAACTTATGAAGTTTCTTATCCCCCTGCTCCCTTTCTTTTATACCCGAGAGGAGAAATTCATAAGTTTATGTATAAGTAAGCGCGAAAAATGGAAGAAATAACAATCCTGAATGACCCTTCCCCCCTCGCTTTCTGCTCATTTCTAACCTAATTCAAAAAATGTAGTAATAGAAAGAAGGCCATTAGGTTTCACCACCTTCCCTTTCGAGTCAAAACAAACTCTGGTACCTAAATCAATTGCAATTAAAAGAAAAAAAAAACAGGAAATCAAGCCAATTCCTCCTAAGAGCACTCTGAGCGGTCCAAGCAAAATTGCTGGGGCGCGCTCTGACGTGTATTCGAGTAAACTAGAAGAAGATAAATATTCGATATTCGAATAAACCGAGAAGAAGATAAATACGAAAGAGTAAATACGAACGAGAGCAAACCAGCCGCAATCAGCTGATTAAAGGCCGAGGTACCGGGGAGGGATTCTGGGCAGGACCAGCATGGTTGGAACGGCGATTCTTCAGCAAAGTGGATGTGTTTAAGGACCATGAACCTCCTTCAAGCGCGACTTGTGCGGGAAGAGGTAGACGTATTCGTGTAGAGGAAGGTTTGCACTTGCTAGTACTGAAACGTTTATAAAGTTCGCAAAAATCACAGAGAAATCTGCCAGATTCGTTGGGGAGTGGTTTCAACTAAACAGGTTTGAATCAATATGTTTTTGTAACTCAGCACTTCACAGATCTGAGAACGGTTTTGAGTTTTTAAAGATTTTCTCTTTCTAAAAACCTCTTGAGCTGTTTCTGAAGTTCTCGGGATTCATGAGATCTCGCGATGGGGATTTCTCGCGCAGTACTCGGCTGCGCGAAAGAAACCCGTTCCTGTGTACTTATTCAACGCTGAGCGTGGTTCGAATAACCAGGAACGCATGAAAACGTATCTAGTGGAGCAGGAGCAGAATATGGTTCGTTTAGCGCCGATCACGCTGACTTTGGATGCGCCGCGCACTGAGGTCCGCGCAGAAGTGATGGGATGGTGTAACTTGTGCGTAATGTCTGTCCACGCGAGCAAATCTGTCTATAGGGTTCAGAAGGTCCATGGCGAGCCTGTGCACTTGTTTAGTGTAGTGTTTTCAGTTGCGTATGATCGAACATGTCCCTGTCGACGCTGCCAGATTCGTGCTACGCCAATTGCTGACTCCGATAAAGGAGACCAACTGCTGGAAAACGTCTATACGAACGATATGGTAGTCCTGTCGCTTGTCGAGAAAAAAACAGGTTGGCTCAGCGCCAAGCGCGACCGCGGACACGCCATATCATTGGCAGCGAACCAGAGTTTGAGTTGTACTGTTTAGTCACCAACGGACTTACGAGATAATGTCGACTTATTAATATTTGCAGTTATTTCGGATTAGTTTGATGAATGAAAGTTTTGTACTATTTTTTGCATATCCGAGTTCTCTACAAAGCAAGTTTCGCTGTACAGGACTCAGCACATTGACAATTTGCGCTGCTCGTTACTGGCTGCCGCACTCACTACGACCCCCCCCTGTTGGGGATTCCCCAACCAACGATGTGCCCTGGGAGGGGTCGTACTCACACAGCCATTTCGCACATCCCCATGCTGTACCCTGGAGGCACTAGCATTACTTGAAGCTAAGATATTATGTGGAGCGTTGGCAAGCATGCATCATTTGCACAGTTACTGGGATCAAGTCTTATCAAGGCAAACAACGTTTTCATTTTGTTGAAATCGATTTTTGGTGTCCGACTGTTCTAACTGTGGAGAAAAACCCTTCCTTACAAAATATGAATGACGCTGGTTATGGTAGAGATTTTCACACTTACAAATGCGTGTACAAGTATGCATGGAAAACGAATGCGTGGCGCATCCTGAGAGGACAGCAGAGGGCGCAACAAACTTCGAAGCGACGATTGCTGGTTCCTGCACCTCCGTTTTGTGACGAGCCAACGTTCTCTACCAGCATTAAGCGCTTCGCTGTCGGCCCAAGTAGTATAGTGGTTAGTACTCCACGTTGTGGCCGTGGCGACACAGGTTCGATTCCTGTCTTGGGCATCCTTTTGCAAATTCTTCTTGGTTCTTCGTGAAAAGAAACTGAAGGGACATTAAGGAATAGAAGATCGCTTTGTGGAGGAGGGGCTGTCCTTTTGATGCTTGTTTCCTCAACAAGACCCAAAAATTCAGTGCCATAGATATCCACTACAATTTTTTAAAGTGTAAACCTGTTAAAACAGAAATCACGAAAAACCCATTCCTGGTGGTACCTTTTTACCCACCTTAATAAGCCTCACTTCCCCTCCCCCTGGTCTTTTCGAACAATTAATGAAAATAAAACCAAATTCATATTCTTTTACGACCTTTAGAATCTTTATTGCACAACGTAATCACAGCAAGACAAGACAACTGCCGACCCATATAGGAAACGTAACAATAGTAATTTTGGCGCTGTTCGGCTTGGGAGGGGCGGCTTGCAATCTCTAGTTCCTTTTGTTATTTCTTGCTGAATACAGGTTTCATCAAGATGAAACCTGTTCGTGTATAGTTACGAAACGGCACAGGTGAGTCATTCGTTTACAAGAATTTAGAGGTCCTGACAAGGTGGCCTGTACAGGTTTTACTTATTGCCATTCGGTGCCCCCAGCAAGCCGAACCCCACCGTATTTTCCAACAGAAATTCCTTTTCCAACATGATGGATGCCGCGAGGAGCACATTTTTGATGGGTAAAGTTTGTGTACACTCGACTATCCAGGAAAAAACCGGCATAGAGAAAGTGCTTAAAATCAGAATGAATAAGCGCGTAACGGTGAATAAGCGCGTAACGGGAGTTTAGAAACGTGTAGTGAAAACAATGCACACGACGTTCGGAGGTCTAATGACGATATCATTTTCTTTTCTATCTTCCATTCTCGCAGACAAATTCAACCATCAAAATACTCCCGCACTTTCTCCCTCGAATGAAGATCGGCCTGAAAGCAGAGATTTCTGGATAAGCGCTAAACCATCCCACTGAGCTATAATGTGACTAAATCTAAGTACTCACACTTCGTATGGGCTCACAAATTCGATTTTTGGCGGTCGATATCACTAAGTTCGTCGCCAGATCCAATTCGATACCGTAACCGGCCGAAACATAGACAGGCACTTTTGACCCACCCAGCCTTGTGACATTCATCAGCACCGGTAAAAGGACGTCGAATGGAGCATACCCATCGACGCTTTGAGAGGAGACATCTGCGATGAGCTTGAAAATACACAATTACGCATCAGTTGGTCGTTTCCGAACTGAGTATTTACAGTTTCCTTAATACACCGTCCAGGTTTTTCCGAGGGAGCGGGGCCAGGAAATTAAGTCATTGATGCCCCTTTCTCTTCTATTCTATGAGACACGCTCCAAGAACTGCATATCCTGGCCCGGCACATCAATCAGTCACGAACAAAACTATTGTTTGAACTGAAAATACCTCATCAGCTGCCTTTATCACATCCTCGCGAGCTCCTACTGACTTCAGCAAAGAAAGGTTGAGATTTTTCGCCACTCCAATGGTTGCTATACCGGTCAAGGCACCAATATGACAGGCAAGTCCACATCCTAAAAGAAATTCTTTCAATAGACAACAGAAAAACAAAAGCTTGAAACTTTCTGGGAGTATTATGAGAAGCAGTCCATGCCGATGCTACCGGTGAAACAACCTACTATTGGGCTTTTGTCATTGTCGCGTACCTCCCCTTCATCGTCGTCGAAGAAGAAGGGTATAAATGAGAAAAGTACAGGGCTTCTGCTCCCCGCCACACAGTCGACATATACTGAAAGGGTGACCCAGCACTCAACTAACTCGAAGGATTTCCTCCTTGCCTAAGCAGTGCGGTACGCGACTGCACAGTTTCCCACTTTCGCGCCTCCCTAATGAGAGACGAGGGCGGTCCGGCCACCATAAGTCGCAGCTTCAGAATTGTTCGATGTGGATGCTGGGGTGTCAGGGGGTCTGAGCTGGTGCAGCACAAGACCGTTCCCCTGCAAATGTTGAAGACGTTAAGCAACAGAAATGGATTTAAAACGTGTTGGCATCGCACCAGACTCACTCCTCCCCGGCACTCCTCAGCATACGCACCGTACAAGTGCGTAACTGCAGCTTATGATGGCCGCTATGGACTAACAAGGGAATGGTTTGAACTTCCCATGGAACTTTGAATGGAGACCTAGGTACATCGATAGAGCCTCGAATGCTGATTACGAATATGCAGATTAAAAGTGCTACGGGGACCTCCCAGACGAGATCTGGGTGGTCAAAGTTTGAGTTCTGGCTCGTAAGTCGATGCCTCGGCAGTGCCACCGTGGCCTCGTGGTAATGGTCTCGCTTTCAAGTCAAACGCATGCGGGTTTGCATCCGGTTGGCGCGAAAATTTTTGCTTCGCTCCGTATAAGAGCTTCAACTCTAATTTTCGAAATTCTTCCGAATTTACGGCCCAGCAGGGCAAGTAGATCAAGTACATCAAGTATACGACGTACTCGATCTAGTATGGATTTGGTCATACCCTCTCTGAACATATTACCCATCCGACAATTCAAAGTTTTAGCGAGAAATTCGTTCATGGGAGATTTCGACCCCCTGAACACGAATATCACATCCTTCGACGAAAAAACGCTCGTCTGGCCAAATTGCGATTCTGGGCAAAACTTTGAATTGTCGGATGGGTAATATGTTCAGAGAGGGCAGATATGACCAAATCCATACTAGATCGAGTACGTCGTATACTTGATGTACTTGATCTACTTGCCCTGCTGGGCCGTAAATTCGGAAGAATTTCGAAAATTAGTTGAAGCTCTTATACGGAGCGAAGCAAAAATTTTCGCGCCAACCGGATGCAAACCCGCATGCGTTTGACTTGAAAGCGAGACCATTACCACGAGGCCACGGTGGCACTGCCGAAGCATCGATCAGCAGCGCTTACGAGCCAGAACTCAAACTTTGACCACCCAGATCTCGTCTGGGAGGTCCCCGTAGCACTTTTAATCTGCATATTCGTAATCAGCATTCGAGGCTCTATCGATGTACCTAGGTCTCCATTCAAAGTTCCATGGGAAGTTCAAACCATTCCCTTGTAAGCACTCATTGTGGAGCAGCGAAAGTGGGACAGCCTTCGCGATCACACACTGTACCACTTGGGAAGAGGGAATCTTACGAATCGCTGGAGAGCGAAGTCTGCTCTTTAGCATTAGAAAAGGGTCGCCAGACAACAACTGATTGGAAAACCATCTAACCTAATAAACCAGGGTTGGTGCAAAGTGTGGTAGGACCAACAATTGATGCCCACTATTTTGAATGAACCCAAAACTTCGAAATAATGACGAAGAGAACCTACTCCTGATGTGAAACTGCCCATTTCCATCACACAGTATGACATCCGGACGAAGATCAGGATGATCCGCGAGAACTTTATTTATAAAATCCGCCACGGGAGCTGCTTCACGTACAGCTAGATAGTCGGTTATGTATGGATTCGTTATGACCGCTACGTCATCAAAAATCGCAAGGCGCTATAATAATCGACATCACGACGCAAAACGCAGCGAATCAAACAACCAAGGGAGTTTTAAGTGCTAAAAGGATCCAATATTCCCACTCACCCTCATACTCGGATATTCAAAAATACTGAAAGCCACCACTGCAAAGTCATTATTGTTCTTAGAAGTGGAGATATCAATGCCGCCGACGACCTCTACTTCCTCAATCGATTCCACTGTTTGAACTGGGTAGTGACCTGCCTTGATAAAACCCTGAAAACAATCAACTGAAGATATTAAAAGCAACCCATCAGGGTGTCGTCTAAGTGTTCCGCAATGCAGCGACGTGCAAAACTAGTTGACTACTCTCCAGTTAATTAACTCGACATCGCGGCTTTTTTATGATAAACTTATTAAGTCGCCAATATCGCGCAGTTTACATCACTTGCAACCCCACGCGATGCCGGTACGGGTCTTTTGAAGAGCATCCCCTACCATCAAATAATCTCGAGTTGGCGCTAAAATACCCAGAACGTGGGATGAATGAGCGAAAATTAAGTGATGAAGCAATGGCTGCGAACGGAACTGCCCAACGTGAAAAGTGATCACTTTGGAAACTGTGGCCCCAAATAGCCACCTCCCTCCCCTCCCTCTTAGCCGCGAACATAATTCGCTTTTGCATTCACACCCAGTATGCTCTGTAAATTCTAGTTATTCTAATTTTTCACAATTTCACTGCGTCAACATCGTCATTACATGAGACACACTTGACTCCACCCCCGACGACCCCGCCCACCAATTATACTATTGGGGTACTTATTGAAAATTTTGCCTCATTATGACCAGACTTTATTTATTTACAGTGCATCCATAAATAATGCTCACCTCAACTAGCTCGCAATGCTTCTTTTTATATGCTACACCGATGTCATCATCAAAAACCAGGACAATGAGCCAAACATAACAATACAGCACCCCAATAGCGTTGTACAGCGATATCATCATCAGAGGTAAAAATGCCAAATTCGATCCAAATAAGGCCTGAAAATAAACCGGTTCTTCAGATTTCGACCACAGGCTTCGCCTGTATTAACCCAAAATTCTCTGTTCGTAATCCCTCCACGAGTCTTGTTTATTACGTCTTCAACTAACCATAGATAAGCGCCACTCCAAGTCTTTGCGCCAAATTTAACCTTCAGTTGCAAAACAGTTATGGGCAAAAGCCAGACTACAGACGGGGCTCGAACCAACGATGCGATTTCGAACGATGCGGGTTCGAGTCTCGTCTGTAAGATCACGCTACACAGAACTGTTGTGAAAAGTAATAAAATGAATTTACAAAAAAACCTGATGAACAAAGGTGCCGTAGAACTCCAGAAAGATCAGTCCGAGAACATACATAAGCGATGAGAATGTCATCAAGGACTGAATATCTATCCGAAAAACATACCTATAAAGATTAAAAAAACATTCTGCTCGTTGAGAAAACCTCAAGACACACTTACATACCTCACCATAAGAAGCAACAGTACCGTATATGTGACTGATACGCAGTATTTTATCGGGATTTCGAATAAAGTGAAAAGTAGTGGAAACAGGGAAGTAGCTGTGATTATGGAGAAAAGCACAGTCAATCGGATAAATTTAGGATCCTAAAAGACTCAACTGTCTGATATTGTTCTCAGAGCCACAGAAAAGATTTAAGAATCAATTTTCAACCAACCGTGAATGCAACACATAGCAAAGGGATTGCCATCAAAAGCATTGCCTTTTCGTGTACATGGTAACCATACCAGAAGAAGGAAAAGGCGCTAAGTGACAGCAATGTGCAGAAATCCGGCAGTTTTCCCTTGAACATCGCACCGAATAGCGGGACGAGCGAACTCACCACAAACAGCAAAGAAAGTAACGGAGTTATGGTGGGTAGCACTGAATGTTCGTACTCCTGGAATATCACATATCGAGCGAAGCAAGAAAAACTGTGAAAACCAATGAAATAAGCCAGGGAGGGTTCACGGTAGCATATGACGTTTCACGACCTGGAGCACTTGCTTCTCAAACAGGAAAGCCGAGAGAAAGGTGTGGATCTTCTGACGAGAGATGACGGCGGAAGAGAAGAGCTCTCGTCTAATCTTTCAAAGCACGGAAAAGAGGAGTATTAAAACTGTTCCCTTTCATAATATGAGATTCACCCGGAAGGAACATTTCAAAAGGATTCAGTCATATATCAGAAAAGGAAGGCGGAGGTGGTGTAGTGGGAAGCGGCACGATTATCACGCGCACGGTCCGGGGATCAAATCCAGGATCGCCTCCCTCCCAGTCCAACTAAGCCTTCTTCCTCCGAAGACGGCAAATTGGTACAGATTCGTCTGATTTATAAGAACACTGATTTTTTACATCTGCTCGCCCTCCAAGTCACTGTATGGGCCACGTCGCATTCAGTAGAAACTACGATTCCGAGTGGAAGCATATACGGGAAACATCAAAAGAATGGTTTCGATCGACGGCGAATATTTTATAATTTTTTTACAGGAGAACGGCTCGGGGTAAGGGAGAATCAGAAAGTCTGAGGCAAATGCAGCGCGAAAACAACGCCATCCCTCGACAGGGCGTATCCTCTCCCTCTAAGGTTTCAGAAATTGCGCCAAGTCAATAGAAGCAAGGAATTCCATAGCGAGTCTCATATTTTATTCAGCTTGAAAGAATCTGGAACCTCCATTCGTTCGAGCTAAATGAAACATGAGGCTTCACTTTAAAACAAGAAATTCATACGTAACTGAACTCAAACATAGAGCCATAAGAGTAGGAATCAGTCAAGACTTGGATCTTTTGTCAAGAAAACCATCGCGTTTCCAGAGATCTTCATGAACTAGACTCAAAAAATTCGACATAACAGGCGCTAGGCAACAAACCTGAACAAGTCCAGAACTATATGTAGGTGCTGTGAATAGCTGAGGTTTCCATAAGGCCAATAAACGATACAGTACGAGGTCCATGACATTATAGATGGCCCAGAAGTTAGGAGCCCAATAAGCATGAGTTAAACCTGCAGTAACCGAGCAGTTGCTGGGAAACACTCACAACAAGAAGAAACTGAACAGCAGTCAATATTAAGCCAAATAATTAGTTACCTCTAGATACAGGAAAAAGTCGACTCAGTATCTGAAAAAGCCCGCTTATACCTCCCTGCCAAATAAATGGGCCAAATGATATCATGAATGGAATCGCCATCACTGTAGCGAGCTTCAGTCCTAAACAATCAGAAGAAGTCTCTTTCATTTCGCGAAACCGAAAATATGGCGAAAAAAAACTGCCATATTGGAGGAGGTTACACGGCAAAATTAGCCTGAGGCGACCCTGGCCTTTTAAAGCCTAACGCTAGTCAAGGAGACATCCTTTCCCTCGAAAAGAGGCGCAAACGAGTGGTCTTAGTCGCATCGACGTGTGGGCTCCCTTCAACTGCATTAGCACCAAAAACCCTACCTGAAGTTATCGTCCGGGTGAACTCGAACAAATCGTCAAAACTGCGGAAAAAGTAACTTCGTAGCATAAAGATGACGTATGCTGGTGCATAATATAGATAAATATGTTTGAAATTTAGCAAAATGCAGTAAAATAGGGCTGACTAAACAGTGTTTCTTACATATTGTAATCACAAAAAAACAACTGTAGTCAACTTACCAGCAGGTATTTTTCGCAGTCAGCAAAGTAAACCGACAGAATAAGCAATCCAGTAAGCATGGAATTATATTGAAAATGAATGTTATCTATTAAAAGAAGGCCACTATGGCATGAAAGCACTACTAGAGTGGCTATCCTGTAAAAAAAATAAGGAAAATTAGGTTAATTGCAATAGAACCCATACTCGGAAAATATCCTCACTTAGCTTTCTCTTGCAACTTCTTTGGGAGAGCTTTCCATCGAGGTGAATCGCAAAAACAGAAAATAATGCAAGACAAAATCTGCAACACTCACATTAGTCGAGTCAAGACTGCTCTAGTCCAGTATATGTAGGTCCAGTTCAGTACGTGAATGGGCGCAGTTCGGGCTTATTCGAACAACTTTGCTGTTTCACATAAACTTACAGGTTTGACCAAAGTTAACAAAAAGGAACCAGTAAAAGATTATACTGCCCCTCCAAGCCGCATACCGCCCGTAAAAGTTAATGTCGCGTATCAGGACATGCCACAGCGTCACAGAATCTCCCATGACACCATAGTGACCTCGTGTGGGAAGCAGCTACATGGTGCCTAGGCCAAATCCTTTACGCAAAATGGGTTTCGCATTCCATGAGAAGGCTTTACCTACACAGGGTCATGGTCGTTTCTTCGCCCCACCTACTTCTCCCCCCCCCTCACCTTTCCAGCTCATTCCTTTATTTGCGATCTCACAAGAAAACGAAATTGTGCCACCTCGTGGCTTTACCAGAAATTCACAGAAATTTACAAGAAAACCCGATTTAGTGCCCCTCCGTACCCTCGCCTAACACTTTTCTCGGTAGTCCTTTCTGAACGGAATTCCTCACCCATCAGATCGCTCAGCGTGCTCACTTTGCATATGTGGAGAATCCGCGATTTGTGGAATTTGGAAGAGTAACGACAAAAGATCATAGAGGAATTGAATTTCCGCGAACTGGAAGCGTCTATGACGAAGGATCGGATAGAAACTGATTGATCCATTTCCCGCGAATTGCAGACTCTTCACATCCGCAAAGTATAAGCGCAGTTTTCCCACTCGGGCTGCGTTCATACTTTTTGCCGGAGTTTTAAACGTTTTGAGCATTTTACTGAGAATGCTAGCCGATACCTCCACGTTCCTTCCAGTTCGAACTCTGGAATGCTAAAAACTACCAGAGTACTGAAGAGCAGCCTCAGGAGGAACATTAGCGGCAGATATTCACCCCTTATACGACCCAGCATAACGGAAGCAATCCCGGCAGCCGTTCTCTTGATGGGTTGACAGCACCAGTGCAAGCAGATAAGAAAGTCTACGTAATCCAAGAACTGCTTAGTCAATGAGTGAGTCTAGCCGATCAAGTAACTTTAGAAACTTGTAACTCACATAGAAAATATCCGCACCAATGACTGACAAACGTTGGAAATATAACACTCGATTGTTTAACAGAGCCTCTTTTTGTAGGGTTAAGATATCTTTTAGGCCACAGTAGTAAGCAATAGTGGCCAGACACTGTAATTAGAGGGCATCAACAATGGTTAGGTAGTTACTTGGGTAAAAAAAACCTGAAATTTGTCCGCCTCTAATGCAGTTGGGAGGCGGTAACCACTCGGTAGCGTCTCCATGTCTCTTCCCGTCATCAGACTCAGACTTAGGGTCAGCAAAGGCTTGTTCCGGACTTCAGCAGAGGTTTATGCCCTGTGCGAGCCATCCCAGCGACTATGGTCATCTGCGCTCTATGACACGTTCACGTTTGCGATCGACAGATTCGATCGCACGATCGTTAGCTCTGAAAGCGGCCTAGGTCCAGCTCATGGCTAGAGAAGGGACACAGAGACGCGGCGGAGTTTCGCCCCCCCCCCTTCCTTCATACCGACTGTTTCTTACCTTTTCAAAATATGCAAAAAATGGTGGGTAATCAAGGGTCCACTCCGACGTTGAGTCATAGTACCACTTTGAAAGCGGCAGATTGTGCGTGATAGCCATCCAATTCCTATGGACCTGTAAGCTTTAACTATCTTGAATCCCAACTGATTATAGTGAGATTGAAATGTTGGAATGAAATGTGATAAAAACCATGATCATCAAATTCTGAAAAAATTTACCTCAAAGTCAGTGGAAGTATAGCATGGAATTAGTAAGACTTTCAAGGCTATCAATGTTGAAGTGACGGCTGAGACAGTCTGCCATGTCGACAGTTCAAAGGTCTCACTCATCTCACCAAGGGACCTTTTAAGGATCTGAAATGACAAACATAAAGTGTGTTTATACTTTACGTCAGCGTTCTGAGCGAGCGCCAGCGGTCTGGCGTACATTCAGAAGGTTAGATCGATTTCCATGCTTTCCTAATCGCTCAAAACACGCTTGATGTACGCTCGCATACGCTGGCGTACGCTCGAAACGCTGCCGCAAAGTATGAACGCACTCTGAGGAAGGAGTGATCTAACAGCAAAGTGAAAGTGATGTAAAGAAAAGAGAGAAAAGGCATTGATGTCCCCACAGGTTTCAACTGAGATGAAAGTTTTCTTGAAGCCAATCTTAGTGTTTGAAAGTCATGAGCCGTGTGCAGGAACAAGAAAATGAGTGAGCTACTGAAGAATAAAAAAGGAAAGTAACCGTTGGTAACACAACAAATAATATCATTGGATTCAAGCATTTCGCGAGCATCAGGCGATAGAAAGGGTGGAGGGTGACTTTCGTAGGCGGAGACCGGCCTTCCTGGTGGACTTCTGACGACATTAACGCTCAGCTTCGTGCTGCAAATCTCATCCTCTACGATTGCTCACGGGGTCACCAGGGAAATGGATCGTGCACGTTGAATATATTGACCAGTGTGTTCTTCACGTAAACCTTTGTTTTCAAAGCAAGTATCGTTTGGGAACTGCATCCGAAGACGATCGCGTTTGATCAAAATCTGGGAGCAGGAGCGTGCTCTCTAAAGGAACCGAATCTGCGCAAATAGAGAAAGAAGAAAACCAAAGCAATAGTAATGATTGGGCTCGCTCAGGTGACGTGCACAGGAAGTAAACAACGGTCTGATCACCTGCCAGCGAATAACGCGCTCCAACAATAAAACCGCGACGCAGCCGCGCGCTCTAGATAGAAACTTTGCGCGCGCCTGGATGTTTTGTTCGTGGCTAGACGGTAAACAAGCGACGAGGGTGGTCTGTGAACGATGATGTTTCGAAATCTGTCGAGGCTATGGGCGTTGCGTTCTTGCCGGCAAAGTGCACTCATTTCGTTCGTTTCGTCTACCCATCGTTGCTGTGCAGTTGCGAAACTTAGATAGACTTGTGCTGTAAAGTTACAAGTGTGTTATAACTGATGTGAAATCCTCTACGCGCAATATCTTCTTGCGGACAGCTGTGGTACGTGTCCATGAAGATTATGGCCTGGGAGACCATTTCCTTGTCGTTAACGGGTAATGACGCTTTGTGCAGTGACGTTTCATCGGTGATGTCATAGGATACGTCATAGACAAGTCCTAACTTGTAACGAATTGCTATCGTCTAATGATGACTCCCGTACGGACTATTGCGGACCTAAACCACATCTAAGCCGCTTCTCATAACCTGTTAATCATGAGTTTCTTCGTGCTGTGCAGTGGTTTGAAGAGTAAGATTGTGTACCTGCAGACTTGAAATCTGGGAGTATTTCCGCTCGCTAGGATAACCAAGGTTTAGTAAGGGTACCGCGTCAAAATGTAGTTCTATCGTATGCTTTTGGCCTAGATTTACGATCTGTTACCCGCGCGATCGGTCTCCTATCAGTACAGCGTCCTTAACTACGTATACATCTTCGCATTAAAGAATGATATAGGGGCGCCCTGGGATGTAACATTTTTCGCTCCACGCCTCGTCGCTGCGGGGAGCGCCCCCTTCTATTTGCTGCACAGCGATAAGCAGTTTAGCTTTGTTTAGCTTTCATAAGCTGGTTTCAGACTCCACACTACCTTCATTTCAAACTAATTCGCTCACTCTGTGCCCACCTGGCCCTCCACTGCGGGACGCAAGAAACGGCAACTTGTTTCTTAGCTCTGTAAATGGCGAGCCGCTGAGTTTGGAACCGTTCCATTGAAGGGAACCATTACTGTCTTTGATGCGGGCCTTCTTAAGTTATGGCACATATCCTCCACAAGAGTGGGTCCGCGTTCATAGTTCGCGTTGCGATCAATTGGATTACCCAGCTAGGTCACGGGGTCCTACCGTGCTATCGGATGGCGAACTATGAATCTAACTCGAATGGTCCTATCCCTCGCACACTATTTGGCCCACTTTTCATGATATTTCTGCCAGGGAGTGGTGTAGAAGGCCAGAGATTAGCGTTCTCCAGCAACACCGATGGCTTCGTGTCCTCTCCATCACTGGTCACCCACCCCCCCCCCCCCCTCCTCCTCACCCTTCGTAGAAGGGAGGGAGAGGGCGCAGAGAGACGTCCAGGAGTTACTATTGAGGTAGCGGTGCTGGAAACTACGACAGAACATCGGGCGCGTCGAATAATCGGAGAGCACTCTTAGCCTTCCCACTTTGCGCACTCGTATTCACTATTATCTTCTTCAGTCATCTCCGATTTGAGTTGTCCTTCATAATCTCGTTCGCTCCTTATTGTACTTTTTTACTGAGTGAATATTCATTTTTGCAGATCGTTGTGCTAAACTCGAGGCTCTCCTTCACAAGAATCTCTTGTTCCCATCCATTCAAGAATGGAAACGAATCAAGCAGATAACATTCCAGCAACTTCCCCCGGGAGCTCTTCAGCAAATGTACAAGGGCTCATTACTATGGTCTTGTTCTCTGCAGATGGAGGGGTGTGTCAACGACGTGGCTTTGGCCGCGCCGCCAGCCGTTCTCCATCAGTTGTTGAAGCGCAGGCGACAACAAGTTTGGATACGGCTGAAATGATGACATGATACAGTCGTCCCTGTCATACGAAAAAAGGAAAGAAACGGCTGGCCTGGTGCCAAACCCATCCCCTGACATCCGCAGCTAACAAGACTACAATTGAGGTTTTGGCTGCGTATACAGCTCAGCTAGGCTGTGTTCATACTTCGCGACAGTAGAATAGGGGAGTCGGTGGATTGACTTCTTGGAAGAATGGGCGCTAGGGAAGGGCATAGCTATCGATCTAGCGTTTTGTAAGAAAAGAGGAACCGACGACTTGAAAGAATGCATATTCCGTCAAAACAAACGAGCGACTAGCTCAAATCGATAACCTCCCTTCAGTTCGGCGAGCAGTTTTCAACAATGCCGACGCACCGGTTCTCCAGTTCCCTCGTCGCGAAGTATGAACAGCCTTGAAGAGGATTCCTTTTCTTTTTTCATTCAGTCGACAATATTGTTTCAGATCACTTCCTGTCAACAGCATGACGGCGACACGGGACCTACAGGTACATGTTTAACAAACCAGGTTCATTTGGAGCTTTTTCAGGAAGTGTGTAATTGTTGTGGATTAAATACATCCACGATGTCCTTCGAAGAATTTAAAAGTAGATGTGACCCACAAACACGTCTTCCTCCCATCAAACCGCGTTAAGACAACGCTCAGCTTCGTGATCGCGCGATCCAGTTCGCGCGAACTCGAATTCTGAACGCTCTCTAAGAAGCTCTTCTTTCTCATCGTATATCTAGAAGCCCTTAGCCTGCGATCATACTTTACGTCGCGTTTTGAGCGTAAAGCAGTGTTAAGTACTCCAGCATTCGGTGATGGCCCGCGAATATGTCAAAATTACCCGCGAATCTTATACATTCATCTAAGGGCTTTCCAGAAAATTGTTTTCTTCACAATCACAAACAAATTTTATATTTGTTGCATCGAATTCCATGTTTTAGCTTCCACTTCTAATGTTCTTCCAGCGGAAACTTCTTCTATTACCCGAGTAGGAGGGGAGTCCAGCGATGTAAATGGTGTAGCAGAGAACGCCACTTCAGCAATGGATGTAAGTAGGCTTCCTTTATGTCCATTTTAAGCTTTTTCCACCGATTGCAGTTCACCTGCTTGTATTTTCTTTAGGGTGTTGGTAGCAACCACGCTCCATCTGCAGAAATGCAGAAAAGAACATCTCGGAAGAGGAAGTGGTGTTCAAGCTCCACTAATTCTGGTTAGTTTTCACTCTTTCCTGCTCCCAGCTGGAGTTTAAATGCACCTACAACACGCTCTCTTCGGTTATCGGCAATTTTCAGGTGAGAGAAGCCCTTTGCCTGGCAGCCCACTGACATCTGAGTCTGAGGATGAATTCGACATTGAAGGCCATGATGTGTCCCAGATAGAGAATGATGTATGTCAGTTTAATTATTTTTTTACAGATTGTAACCGATTGCTAGGCTTTCAGGTTCTTACGGGTATGCTAGGAGATGGTAGCAGACCGTCTATGAATATCGACCTCTTCTGCGAAGGGAAACCTCGGAGGAAAATCAAGGACGCAGTCAGCGACGAACCTGGTACTTTTGGTTGATTGTTTTGATAAACTAGCGCTAAGCTTTACGTTCCTTTATGTCTAATTTTTGACCGTAAAAATGGCAAAGCGGGTGCGGCTGGAGAATGCACTCAACCTGTGCTACATCTACGGCAGCAGCTATTTATTTTCGAATCGCTATTCCCGCGAAATCCCTTACCACTTATGAAGCTTCAGTCACTGTTGTGTGTTGTTTGTGTTGTGGTATCAGTATATTTAGCATCGTTAAGGTCCATTTGAGTACACTTCAACCCTCCATGAGTACGAAGACGATGGTAGAGTCAGCGCTAACCTGACGATTTCATAGATACCCATATAATCAAAGAGAAAGTATGGTAGTCTCCTTCCACTGTGTTACTTTCTCCTGATTCAGAGGATCATTCATAAGTGCTTCTTTCTCAGGTCACCGCAAAGACGCGTAGGGGCCGTAGCGAATCACCGGAAAATATAGATCAGGTGGATGATGAGCCTTCTCGTCCTGATTTATCAGATTCTGGTGGGTTAACTATGTTGAAGTAATTGAAATTTTTGGCCGTTGGGAGGAGAATGGAGGCCGATTGCTCGCTTTTCTGAAGATAATGTCATTCTCTTTCTTCCTTCAAGATCGACCCAGTTACCTCCTCGATCTATTGAAACAAGTGACAAAGATGCTGATGTCACTTGGCCAAGAAGGAGATGAAACTGTACTGTGGTGTGGATGAAGCGTGGAGTTGGTGAATACGTGCGCAGAGGAAGAAAGAGAGAATGAGGACGATGTGGCCGCAAAACCTATGCAGGATAAGGACGGCACGACTATCGCACCTCAACTTAAGCAGGATGAGGATGATGTGACCATCGTTCCTACAGAACCTAGGTAAGGAAGCTTGCGATCAGCGAAGATTTGGTTCATTCAGTAAGAAACAGCCTATTAGGACTGTAGTGGTGTTCCATTATACTCTAGTTACCTTCAGCATGCCAAAGAAGAAAGGCAAAATGAAGCGCCCTGGTCCCAAGAGTTCGAAGGTTATTTCATCGTGTGATGACAGCAATGATGCCATCTTCCTTGAACGCCTCAGGTTTACACACATCGAAAATATTGCTCCAAAAAACGTCGTCAGACAAGGTCATAGCTCCAATCACCTTCCAGGCAGCTGGATGAACTTGATGAACCAGAGCCTAAACAGTTCAAGGAAATCGGAGATAAACTTAAAGTCTCGCGGACGGTATGGGACCGCCTATTCAAGTAAGTTTAAAGTTATGGAGTATCTCCCCATGTGATGCTTGGGATTTGACAGGCTCTTTGATATGTCATTGATGAGTTACAAGTAAGGCACTAGGTGCACCTCCCAGCTTTCTATTTTCGCCTAGGTGAAGCACGATTGCGAGCTTCATCCCATTAGGTCCCTCTCTCGTGTGTTGAACATGACACTTTTGATGATAATCAACGACTTTAGGGGATTTCAATTCCCACTCTACTCTCTCTCCCTCTTCTCTCTCTCTTCTCTCTATTTTTTTATATTTTTATAATCCATTTTCGTGCGTGTGCCGAAACAGACTTGCCTTATGTATTGGGAGAAACCACTGATTTGGTGTTTTCACGGGTTCCCTCTCCATCGCTTGGAGTGCGTCCATACTTTGCGGCAACGTTTCGAGCATCCGCTAGCGTTTTCAGCACTAATCAATACCCATACTCTCTTAGTCGCTCAAACTGCTGAGGCTCGAAACGCTAACTTCGCTCCAAATACTAGTCGATACCTATTGTTTTCTAGTCGCTCAAAACGCTTGAAACGCTGACGCAAAGTATGAGCGGATTCTTACAAACTTAAACCCATCACTGGTAAGGGGAGGGGATATTGACTTCTCACGACTCGGCGTACATATACGATTCTTCTTTTTCTATATTAGAAAGGTTCGTCATATATTGAGTTGAGGGGTTCTTGAAACATTCTTTCAGTGCCTAGTAGCTCTGTTATCGTCCCTTCTTATAGATATCAGAAGGAAGGTGTTGTGTGGCTCTCGGAGTTACATGAAGAGTACGTCGGTGGTATTTTAGCTGATGAAATGGGTCTTGGAAAAACAGTACAGGTGAATTTGATCGCACTGGTGCATACCAAACAGATTTCTTCTGTAGTGGTGCCTATTATAGGTGCTAGCGT